AAAACCCCAACATTCTATAATACTGGACCAGTAGTTTATATGGGTGAGGCATTACGAGGACGCAGGATACAAAATAGAAGGATGGTGTGCAAACAACGTATGCCTACTACTACGAAATAAGTAGATACTTATGCAAAGCAAAGATTATTTTGAACCAGATAATGGACCGTTGCTTAATGAGTTTTTAAGGCTTTAAACCTGCAACAAGTCCCATAAAAGCATCCAGAAGGACATTTATTGAACAGACGTAAGCTTTTGATACATTCTTATCGGGCCAGTACATGTTTATGAGAACGTAGTATAAAAAAGACGACTTACGGGTCTTGCACCGCGAAGATTTTGATTTTGATGTTCTTTTCGCTCTCGTCCGCTTTCGCCGTCGTTCATCACTATCCGATGCCCTGTCGCTAGCAGAGCTAGGACTGACTGAGGCAATGTCACTGACGGCATTGACAGGTACATTCCTTCCTCTGGTCTCCCCTGCTGAGGAAGGCTGTTGTCGAGTAGCAGTCTTCGGGAGGGCCGTGACCGAAGCAGCAGAAACAGCTGCAAAATACAGTTTTTAATGCCATGAAAAAAGAAGAAGTCTTACGCGTCTGGAATCGAGACGATTTTGATTCTGTTGTCGGCCTCGGTCTCGCCCGCTTTCGTCGTCGTTCATCACTATCCGATGCCCTGTCGCTAGCAGAGCTAGGACTGACTGAAGCAATGTCACTGAGAGCATTGACAGGTACATTCCTCCCTCTGTTCTCCCCTGCTAAGGAAGGCTGTTGTCGAGTAGCAGTTTTCGGGAGGGCCGTGGCCGAAGCAGCAGACACAGCTGCAAAATACAGAGTTTTTAATGCCATGAAAGTCTTACGCGTCTTGAACCGAGACGATTTTGATTCTGTTGTCGGTCTCGGTCTCGCCTGCTTTCGCCGTCGCGATGGTCGGTGGTGGTAACGCTCTTCATCACTAAGCGATGCTCGGTCGCTAGAAGAAGAATGGGAACTGGCTGAAGCCTTTTCACTGATAGAAGGGACAAAGAAATCCTCCTCCTCTCTGGTCTCCCGGTCGGCTGCATCACGCTTTTGTTGTTTAGCCGTCTTTGCGAGGGCCATAACCGGAGTAGCAGACAGGGCTGGCGACGTCTCAAGCATCGGGGTTCGCTAAAAAGGGACAGCAGGTGAGCCTACTTTGCGCATTAGGAGGAAATAACCGAAACATATGGCACACTCGCTGATGAACGTTCACCTGACCGCTAACGAAACTCATCTGTCCCGCTCTGCCTTAGGCCCCGCCAGAGGCCCTGACAGTTATTAGTAGGCGGATACTTTTATCGGCAAAGACAAGCGAGACTGGAATGGCCATTTCTGGCTTATTAGCCGTCGTCAGCCAGTCGTACTCAGCCCCAAGTGACTTTCCATCCGACCCTCGAACTCGCGACGTCTTTGATCAGAGTCAAACGCCCTAACCATTGAGCCAAGAGCTTGTTGTCTGGTCCGTTTAGGTCAGGGGATATTGACATTCGTTGATGAACGTTCACCTGGCCCTAGTCATTGACCCTAACCACAGTGTAAATGTCCCCTGACAAGGCAAAATGACGAAAGTCGTCTATAAAGTAAAGCTAACTACGCTGGGAACAGAAGGACACTAGTGACAAAAGCAAAGGAAACTGGGATGACCGCTGCTGGCCTACTAGCCGTCGTCAGTCAGTCATACCCAACCCGAGGAGTTGCAACACCGCAGGATCGAACCCTAAACCTGCTGATAAGAATTTCTACGCTCTAACCCATTGGGCCAGGGGCTCGTAGCCTTGCCGGTTGAGATCGGGAGATACTGACACCCGCTGATGAACGTTCACCAATCGGTCACGGGACACACTCGGTAATGTTCTTCTGCCTAGCCGCTGTGAGGTAGCTAATACGGCTCAATGTTTAGCCCCAAAACTAAATGTAAATATAAATTTCAAACACTGCAGTAAACTACACTGAAAACTAAACTAAAATAGGATAAACGAAACTAACTATGCAGAAAACTAAACTACAACTAATAAAACTAAATAATAAACTAAAGTAAAAGGAAACTAAACTAAAGCCAAACTAAGTTAAAGTAAACTGACTAAACTAAAAACCGAACTAAAACTAATAAAACTGGAAATAATCAAAAGTACTAGTGTGTAGTCCTATACCTTTCGGGTACACTGTCCTGGAAAGTTGAGTAACACGCATGTCAGAAAGGACGATTTATGAGACGCTCATGCACCCAGAGGACTCGATAGCGTCTAGTATAATATCTGATGTTGTTCACTAAATTGGTTGCAACTGCTGCGAAGCCAGTTATGTTGGTTAAACGAGAAAAACGTCAAGACGAGGATGCTAAAACCGGAATTTGCTGTCAGGCGTTTTGTTGTAACGTCGACTCAGTCTGCGCTTTGCCATTGCAGATGACGAGTAGTTTGGCTTCCGCCGCTGAAATCCGACGTCGTAACCATAAGGTGATAAGGGGAATACCTTCTCCAACAGCAAGGGTCAACTGCTGTTAAAATATTAACCCGGGGGGCGCGATATCTTCATAGATCTGCAGAACTTTTGAGTTGTTCGTTACAATCTTAATCTAAGGATACACCCCTGCAGTTCTTCTGAGATAGGTCAATAAAATGGACCACCTTAAAATTTCCCATCTATCTATCTACCCCACCATCTTCTATTAACTGTTGACCGTATTGCAGCGGCACACATCGGCTGATGATTGACGGTTGCCAGTGTGGGAAGTAGAAGGAAGATTGATGGGCAATGAAGTATAAGGAACAAGAAAATTTGATGGGAAACTTAACAACTATGTGCCCGCGCTCACTGTGGACGTGCCTGTCTCCTGCCCCCGAAGACCCTATAACTGCCTTCTGCACAACTAATTAAGGAGACCAATGTTAGAACGGCTTCCTGCCCCTGCGGGGTGCAGCCCGCTTTCGCTAATTCTCGTCCCTCTTACTAAAACCCTCCTTAGACCTGAGTTGATCTGGCAGTTTGAGGGGAATGAAGAAATGTTGTAATGATGAGAAAGTCTGCTAAATTTGAGTCGCTTTAGAGAGTGAAATTCCCGTGAAGAACCCTGTCAATTGCCGTGCCAATCTGCCCTGAGAGGGCAGATGGGAAAAAGGGCTGGAGCAGGTCATCCATCCATACATCCACAGTTCTGAGAACAATATGACCGGAGGCATGACAAACTCTGTGGTTTGGTTGTGTGTCGCGATGCAGACAATTACGAGAGCTGGGATGGTTCTAGGGAGAGATGTGTGCAAAAACCCGCGCGCCTGGGAATGTCTTCTTCGAACCAGAGTAAAGGCAATCCTTCCAATCCTTTCCAAGCCGGCTACTTATCAAAGTCAAGGGAGGAGGGTCAGTCAGTCAAGACAATCTGCAACTGAAATACATTGAACACCGCTGGGCAAGGGTTCCTTATAAACATCCCCGGAGTTTACTAACTACTTCTGTCGTTGTATATTTCATTAATACTATCTCCGGTTAACTTAAAAGAGACTACCTCTTTTATCGGTTTTATAAATTAACGCATTTACTCACATTCCGCTGCTACTTGTTGGTTGTTTGTTTGCAAATCAACTGATCGCATAGGCTCACGGATGCCGCTATTCACCTTCGTGTCAGTCAACTAATTGTGGTCAACTCGTGGGTATTATTTGCTTAATTATTGCTCCCTAATTGTTGTACTTCCGCTTGGCTCTTATTTCTATCGCAGCGGTTTATTCAGTTGCCTTTGGTTTTCTTTTACTTACTTTTTTGTTTACTTTTAATTAACGCACATTTTCAAGCCACACGGTTGATGAACTGAGCCAACACGGGGGCGGGGGGACACGGCAAGCATTATTCGGGCTGAGCATTCATAACACACACGTGGGAATTGAGGAAGCACGTCTACGTGCAAGCTTGCGACGCACCAGTCATC